AACAGGTAGACCGACGGCCATAATTTCAACATGTATTGTCATGATTTTAGATGCCTATTGACATGATTTGAAACATTATACAACAGGGTTCCTCGATCAGTTAGAAAATCATTGAACTACTCTTTCAAGCTGTTCGCACTATTGATGATTCGATCTTACCTTAGCTTCAGAAAATCGTAGCTCTTTAGCTCTTTCTACAGACACATAGTAATAAAATTCTAATGTAACCATCACAATCATCTGTTACAACTTTTCAATATTGTGTCGATAAATGTCGAACTAAATCAAGTTAAATGCTGGTAACAAATAGGCCTACACTCAATGAGGAAGATATCGCATTGCAAGACATTCTGCATGTTTCTAATGCATGGGATGTTTGTTCATTATCTAGGCATATCCCAAATAATACTTAACTAGTTAGTAGTAGTTTTTCAGTTAAAAGATTTTTACTTGTGGATTGCTGCTCTTCTTATAATCTCTTAAATCTTTTAATATTTGAGTTCTTCTCACATTCGGCTCAACCTTCGTTAATGTTCGTAAGTTTCCTAGAGTAGAACATATTATGATTAATCTATACTTCAACGTTGGAACAATCTCGTAACGTTAATTTAATATTTTAGATTTAAAATAACTAATTATCAGTCCCTATGTAACACTCTCTCATTGGTTTAATTCATGTTTAATTACAAATCACTATTATTTTGTTCAGTTTAATTACAATTCATTATAATCTTACTCAGATTCAGATCTCAGGCCAATTTTATCTCTCTTACAACTTAGTGATCACTTGTAATTAGTTTTCTTCTGTCTTGGTAGTTGATGATTAGTTTAGAGCTGGAAATAATAAGTGATTCGAGAGATGAACGCAAGGGTCGTTTAGAGCTTCTAAAAAGTTGGTGTATTTTAGCGAAATATGCGATTGGTTGGGGTTGATGGAATACTACGCCGCTTTTATACGGAAGGTAGAAATGAGATTATCAATCTGGAAAGATCTTTTATCTTTTATACGGAAACCTCATTTTGATAAGAAACCACTTCAGGTGAAATACGAAGAAAAACCATTAAGTGATCAGAAGAATGAAACCTTATGGTTTTGTTCACTATATCAGCGAAATAGATGCAACCAGAGAAACTCTAATTTGCTTACAATTCGTGGTCAACAGCGCTAGGGGCAACATATTTGTGCAGCGTGCTGATCCGGAATGTTCCACGACATGTCCTTATAAACTGTCAGAATTGTGACAGTCTGAGGAACAGATGTTACATGTTTGCGACTTGCGCCTTTTCTACCGATGCATCCTCAAACAATCAAGAACTAATCGAAATGCATGAGGTTATTTGTCAATCTAAGAACCATAACTTTGCTGATTACAGAATTCCTGTGAAATCGAATTTAAAAGTAGACTTGTTCAGAGAAAAGCTCCAAAATTACCATGACCATTTTATTCTAGATTTGATAGAATTTGGCTTTCCCATAGGTTTTTCTGGTGACCTTCCGAAAACCACAAAGCCGCTAAGGATCATCCATTGGCTGTAGACTCCTACTTGTCTTAGGAATTGGAATATGATGCCATATTAGGACCCTTTAAAACCAATCACTTCACTGTGGAATGCCTTATCTCTCCTTTCAATACTGTATCAAGATGAACGTCGAATTAATCTGGATCTAAGTTTCCCTAATGGCTCTTTTATCCACGATGGTATTTCAAAAGACCTCTACCTTAATGAAACAGTAAACTTGACTTTCCCAAACGTTGACGAGCTTGTTAGTGTGGTAAAAGATAAAGGCAGGGGTTGTTTACCTTACAAACGTGACCTTAAGCCGGCATATCGTCAACATCCATTAAGTGGATTTCTCGTGGATAAAGAATTGTACTATGATTGTGTCTTAAGCATGGGCTTTCGTTCCGCAGCTCATATCTGCCAAAGGTCAACAAATTCTGTGGTTTATTTCGATTTCTAGCGCTAAACTATTTAGATGTCTTTGCTAGTGGAGAAAGGCAAGATTTCGCTTTAGATGCCTTTCATTTATTGGGAAACATTTTGCAATGGTGTGGGCTAAAAGAGTCGGTTGAAAATGCAGTTCCACCATCAACAACTATAACTTTTCTTGGAGTTCGTTTGGATACCTGTAGTCTTACGCGTACGATAACCCGTGAAAGATTGACTGAAATATCTGGCCTTGTGTCATATGTTCAAGTGACAGTTAAAGAAATACAAAGCCTTCTTGGCTTGTTTTGTTTCAGCATGTGTTCGTCCGGGGAGGTTGTTCATAAATCGTATTCTTCCATTTCGATTTCCCCCCTTCTATTGTTCAGGAATAGACCACATTAACGAACTGGAATTATTAACAATTGTTTTCTCTTTAAAATTATCGGGAAGTCAATTAAGGAGCAGACGTGTTTTAATGTGAAAATATGATGTCTGTGACTGTATTAAACAAAGGTCGTTCTAAAAATGTTAATTTACAGTCATGCTTATGAGAAATTTGTTTGGTAGCCTTAATCGAACTTGAACCACAAGAATTTTCCACACATAGCTTCCGTCGTGGAGGTGCTACCTGGGCTTTCCAATGTTAAGTGCCAGCTGACCTCGTCCAAATTACATGGGGATTGGAAGTCAGACGCCTTTCAGAATTATTTTGAGTTCAATTTGGAAATAAAGATTTCTGTTGCTAAAAAGAGGATTACTTCCCTTTGTAAAAGTTAAAATTGGCGGCCTTCGACTTAGAGGATTTTTATGTGTTGAATACAATTTCATTAGTTTAGATTGATCCGTTTATTCATTTATTATTAGAGTTTGCTCAAATAATTTTGATATTGTACATATTAATATTTGTTTTATTTTCGGCCACATAAATTAAAGTTTCTAACCTTATTTGCTACTTATTTTTGATATTGCGGACGGATAATTTACAAAATATTCAATTAATTAATGTGAGGGTTTTTGAAAGATGAAATTGAAAATACAGCTTGTCAAATCCTGTCTGCAATCCAGAAACATTGAAGACTTTGATTTTGGGGACCAAGGGAGATAACTCATTAAAAATTAAAGGTTTTTCCGAATACGTCAAGAATTAAGGCCTTCTAGTGTTCATGAGCTAAAAATTGAATGAGTTTACAAGAACAAAGGCACTAACTCGCATTAATTGTTTTATTGGATTCAAGTTCCGTTGAAATCCGTAAAGAATTGTGCCTATTAGAGTATTTACACGGCAATTGTCGACGGACCGACATGGATGGCGCGAATATACGTTCCATACTTGATGTGGGCGTATAAAATTAGTTACTTCAATAATATCAATTACCTCCCTTTGACCTTCATACATAATTTTGTGAATGATATTGAGCTGGTGTGGCGCCAGGCAGCGTCTACTTTTTCTCGCATTAAAAGTTCAACCAATATTAATTTTACATCTGCCCTTTTCAAAGAATGAAACCCAATCAAGCATTGTGTACAAATAAAAATTACGGTTCTGCGATTCTATTGCAGAAAGCATCGAGAAAAGTGTGGATAAAAACTTTGAAATGAGTGAATTGAAATGCTTAGCATTTACTCACAAGAAATGACAAGTTTTAACAGACCTATCCACGATGGACGGCTATATAAATCCACATTTCCATGTGGACGTTTGTATGTAGCTTCAACAAGGTCAAATTTGACCGAAATTTTATCAATTGCACATTAAGTTTCTCCAAAATCAATTGAAAATTTTACTTGTCTTGTGTTCACAATTTGGACACGTATCAACTTAGTCCAGGATAAAAACTTTCATCAAAAATTTTCAAATTCAAACTTTTCAAAATCTCATCCCTTTTATTGACCACAACAAATTTCATGAAAATCAAATGAAAACTGTCTTTTATTGTTGCCCAAACAAACGATCCACAGACTGGCACGACCGACTGGCTCGCAGAATTCTATGGGTCCACATTTATTTCTTGCAAATTTTGCGAATTAAGTTACTAGTTTTCGCATATGAAGGGCTGATTCTTTCTCACATTCCTTTCTTTTTCATTATTAGTGGAAAAAAGACCTTAACACTGACCTGTTTCACGACTAAACTAAAAGAGAACGTGTCATGTGTAACATATGTCACAAGTGGCGAAAATCCATAATTGCATGCCGTTAATTTCAAATCAGCTTTAAAGATATCTGATAACAATTTTTAACCCTTGAGTAAAATTGCTGACTTGGTCACTATGAATGCAATATTGTAACGTCTAATCGCTGACATGTTGACATTTTTACATTATTTGCGAATATGAAATTTACAAAAAATATCGTTGGAAATAATTATTATTTTATTGAAAAAGCAACATTATTCGAAATAAGTTAAGATACCAATGAAAAGTATACTGAAAGATGCGGAAATTATTATACCATTTTGTCACCATTAGTACTGTTATCATTTTTCTGACATGGGACAAATAAATATAGATATAAAAACATTTTACGTCGATTTCAACATCTTACAACAATTCGTAGACTATTATCTGAGCACATCGAAATTGTTAAATTTTCCTATTATTTTTTTTTTTTTTGAAAATTGGAATATCAGCCTCAAAATAGTACTGATAGTCTTAGAATGTCTGAGTTGCTAAAATCTTTTGTAAGTTAACATTGAAAAGAAACATACTTCTCTCCTACCTCAAAATGGTAGGCTGTAAATTGTCCTCTGTAAAAACAAATATTGAAGACACAATGTGTGATTATGCTTATATATTTATCTACGCTAAGTCATTCTAAGACTAACAGTACTATTTTGATGTTGCTATTTCTATTCTTCATAAAAATTAAACTTTGCTCAGACAATAGATTGGATAAAAAAAAATCGCTGCCATTTTGAAGTTTTCAAGACGAAAATACAGGTGGAAAGAATGATTGTTGAAACAATGCAACATTGATTAAAGTGAAATTTAAAATAGAATTTTGATTTATGAATCAGCCTTTTCTTCTGAATTAAGATTGCTATCATTATCATTAGGTTGTTTATATGGTCGACTTGCAAGAGGTTCTAATGCTAATATCAAAGCTGACAAATAGGCACAACCACCAACAAAATGATACGATGCTATATAAGTACCAGTTGTATCTCGTAATGCTCCTGAAATAATAAAAAGAATGAAATAGAACTGCAAAACGAAACAAAAGATTATTTTTCTTAATGTAATAATCATTCAAGATTCCAATCTTGGAAGCCGTCGTCAATAGCTAAAAGGGACAAATGGAATGCGAGAGGCGGTAATTAAGGAGTTGTGTTAAATCCAAACCAACCAACCGAAAGGTCAATGGACCAAAATACTGGCACATTAAGGTAAAGAGACGTTGTGTCCTTGTATGTTGTAAAATTATTTGATTTTATATTCCATTCACAGTTGTCTTCTAAATTCGATACGGTATGTTTTGTAAAAAAATAATGCGCACAATAATGAAATAATAATAATTCAATAAAAAAAAAATAAACAAAAACGTTCAGAAACCTGGCGTCATATTTTACAAAGGGGTTCATATCTTCACAAAAACATTTTTTTAAAATATTATGTTCATATATACTTAGTTTAATTAAAATCTGGGGAAGCCCACAATATCCTTCATAAAACTATAGATTCTACATTTTATAAAGGCGAAGGTGAACAAATGGACGGATGTAAGTGATGCCAAATTATACACTTTCTCATAGAGATGATGATGTATCAAAGAAGTGGTTGCCTAGCAAGATACGCCCTCTTCAATGATAATTTTTCATTATAACAAGGGTGGTCGCAAATCTGTGTCAAATCTTTTATTCTTGATTAAACCAAAACACAAAGTTTAATAAAAAAAAAACTGTCACCAAGATCACGTTCACAAGCCCTATTTAACATAATTGTATATTATTAAAATCAGATAAAAACGGCCGTCTCCATTGTGTTCATAACCAAACTTAACTTTGCCAAGATCTCCTCAACATTATAAACCATAACAGCAAATTTCTTTTAAATCTTTATCCTCTAATGTGTGCACAAATAAATTTTGACAGTTTTTACCGAGTCACGAACAATAACATGAAAATCGCTAATCGAAAAATTGTCACATTCGAACTTGAAGAAGGTCTCATTGTTAAAGATGTTCACACCAAATTTCAGTAAAATCCGACATCAACTGTTCGCTCTATAATGTTCACAAACAAATTTTAACGCGTTTTCAATAAGTCAAGAACTTGACTAAGATCTCACAAATACAAATGAGCACACCAAATTTCATTAAAATCAGATTAAGATTGTAGTCTCTATTGTGTTCACAAGTCAAAAATGGTCGGGCGGCGGCGGCGGCGACAATTTACGACCAAATTGTAATGTGGGCGTATAAAAAATGACTTTCTTACCAAATAATGGATACGTTAGCACACTACTGAGTCCATCGTACAATAGAACGAAGCCAAGAACAGTACTTAATTTTGATAAACCTAATATATCTATTATTGTTACCGATAAGAGAGCGTAAAATGCTCCAGAAAATAGACCTAGCACTACTGTTAACACTACAAAAGCACCAAACGATTCACATAATCTGGTACAATGACACGCTGTTCCGATTATAACCAACGTGATTAAAACAATGTTTTGTTTCTTTATCCAATTTCTATCAGCTATCAATCCGAGAAAAAACCGACTGACAAGATCCACGACAGCTAGAATAATCAGAAGCTGGGACGATTCGTCGTTAGATACACCCATTTCCTTGCATAAAGGTGGCAAAAGAAGACCAGCAACTCTTGACCCTACGCCACCGAAAAACGTGTATCCCAATATTACCAGGAAACGGAGATCTTTAAACAATTGAAAGTCAAAAGCTTTCACCATTTTTGATGAAGCCAATCTTACAGATGTAAGTCGCGACTGACGATCTGAATGTACTTTCAATGAGGGAGCAATCACAGCTATTTCTGTATCTTTATCTAAGCTACCACTTGAAGAAATCGGCTTGCCCTCTTTTGTTGGTGGTTCATCAGGAAACTGCAATTCGTGAGGTTTTAGTGGTCTTAATAAACACCCACAAGGAATGATATTCAATAATATTGCACCATATATAAGCAGCGCTCCCTGATATCCTTCTTGGTCTAATAGGTATCTTAACACTGGAGCAAAAACCATTAACCCAAGACTAGATCCACAAGTAGTCAACGAAGTCGCAAAAGATCGATGTTTTCTGAAATATTGACTCATCATTACAAAAGGAGGACTGAAAACAATACCATGAGCCATACCTGAAAGTAATCACCAAAAATCATGTACCTGCCTATAAAGTTTTGGGAACTGATGAAGTGTCGAGAATAGTCACTTTTCATCCATATATTTTGAAGCCCTTATCTTGCTATAAATTATGTCCTTCTTTAATTATGAAGTGGATATTTTCGCGATCTTAAAGGTTTTTATTTATAGAGAGTTATGACTAATAGGAAGGGGATTATATATTCAAGAAATCAAGAATTTTTACTATAATATTCCATATACATACATTGGTCAAAGATAGCTGTTATTTATATTTCCCCTTTTGTTATTTTGTTTTGTGGTCTGGTATACTTTAGAGGTATCAGATATCTTAATTCTATTACCATGATAGTAACATTATATCTGCATTTAAATGAAAAATTTCTTGAATAGTTAAATCCTTATCTTAATATTTTATTTTATTATTAAACATGTTCTTGTATTATAATAAGACACCAGGGGATTTGCAAAAGCTTGTAACTATATAAATAAATAGTATACTCTGTTGTCAAATATAGTGTAGGATAAAAGTCTTAAAGGGATTTTAAAGCCGATTTCTAGCCTTATAAGCATATCCAAATGACGTCTGTGGTGCCTGTATTTTCATAAATGACGTCAATATCACAAAGACTTTTTTATAATCCAGGTGCCTTTGTGTCTCGCACTATCAGTGATGCTGCCATCGAAAAAACGCCTTGACGCTCATATGAAATAAATACATTTAAACAGATGGTTGACCAAGATAATATGACGTCGTAACGGACTATTTTGACGTTGTGACAACGGATAAACATCTCCATCATTCTAAACTTAATATAAGTAAAGGAAAGACGGAAAAATGTGATAAGCTATTGAATTGTTTCTGAAGAAGGCAATTAGCCGAAACGATAACCAATAGGACAGTAGTATATACATGTATATATCATATATTTAATTTGTGATATAATTTAATAAATTTAAACCAAATCCCCGTGTGCTATACAATGAAAATAACAGATGAAAGTAATTAGGCTATGTTAGTCAAATTGAAGTAAGAAGAATATATGATGATATTAATAACTAATTGTACTGTGATGTTTGAATTGTTTCATGTGACCTTATCCCTTTTTCTAATCAATAAACTAAACATATACATACCTGCAAATACACATTCAGTGAATATCACATACGACATATTGGTTGCAAAGACTTTTAATAGAACACTAAGACCATATATAAATCCACCAAATATTATAACAACACGAACTGAAACAAATTCTAAAACCACACCATGTACAATAAATGCTGAAAAGGAAAAAGACATAATGATAAATATAATATATAAAAAAAATTGTAATAACTACACTGTTAATTAAAAAAAAATGATTTTGTGCTTTTGGAAAAAATGTAATCTTCATATCCAAATCTGTAGCTGACTGTTTCATTGTGCTGATTTCTGTACCATTCTTTGGATTAGTAGAGGAACTGTCCATCTTACCGGTTAGAGATTGTACCACACTTCTAAACCCCATAGTTGATGACGTTATAGTAGCTGAAGCACCAAACCTTTCTTCAAATTCCACATAAAGTATTCCAAATGTTCTTACATAGCCCATTGCTAATACCATTATAATAAAACTGGCTAAAATTTGATATAAAAAATCTTCTTGATTGATATTTCAAGGCAACTGAATTGCATGCAACTGATGATAATAATTTTCACATATAGAATTTTCTGCCACTTTTTCCCCTCAAGAAATATCCCTAACGTTCTGCAAGAAAATAATAGACATTTCCCCACAGATACGTTGAGGTCGATTGTGTCGACTTCAAAACAACAAAATTAATTAAATCACTGTTTACACGGGGCACATACACGAGTAACAGTTGCGGGGGCATACTCACAAAACATAACTACCCACGCCCATCCTTGATCAATTGATCTTTTTCTTTTAGATTTGCTTCGCTGGAGTAAAGTTGATTGTGGTTCTTTTGGTTCCATGGTAAAATTCAGGGTCTAAACGACCTAGAGCAGTTCAAAAAAGCTTAATTATTGCATACTATATTTGTTCCAGACTGGTTATAACGACCAGGAAAGAAACACAATGAACAATGTGCCTTGTTAAACTTGTATAAAATGGGTAACATTCATCTTCGGTTTTAGCTCCGACCTCATGCATTAACGGTGAGGAATCGGGTTAATTTAAATGGAATATCTCGACTTATGCCAGGATCAAAACGATGGAATTTGCTATCGTGTGTAATGTTTTTTTTTCATTTCTGTAGAAACGGCTGACTAGAATGTAAAGGGGTAGCGTGCAAATTTTATTATCAAAAGCGAAAATTATATTTCAAAATATTTCTACTTGATCAAAATTAATTTGTATCATAAGGGTCAATTAAAAACAGAGTTTACTAATTGTTAATTAAGCAGTATGACCTAGTATTGGTTTACGGGGAAGAGGTGGTTTGAAAAGCCACCTGATTCGTTAAAGATTCGTTTCTTAGATTTTGGTGTACAGCTATAAATTTGAGCACAAAAATTTTCGACCTACAAATCTCAAAACAACAGAATACCTCTTTAATTCTGTCACTTCACAACCGTAAATCTTATGTTAGCCAGTGAAACAAGTATCAAAACAAACGAACCTAAATTACGTTGTCAAGAGGGGTCAACACCAATTCCTTCAAACTGCAGCTGAACACATATACAACAGTTGCACTATGCTGAAATCTAAGATGAGATGAACTTCATTAAATTCTTTAACCATGAATAATTATATTCTGTGCATGTTTTATCTTGATATAAAGATTAGAGAAACGAAGATAGGGCACATCGGGATCATGACATAGTTAAAGGGACAGAGCACATCGGAATCATAGTTAAAGGGACAGAGCACATCGGAATCATGACGTAGTTAAAGGGACAGAGCACATCGGAATCATGACATAGTTAAACGGACAGAGCACATCGGAATCATGACGTAGTTAAAGGGACAGAGCATATTGGAATCATGATGTAATAGTGTTCACAGCTCACAGTCTAAATTTGAGCATTCAAATCCATGTCTCCAGAATTATCCGCGTTTGAATGTCGTCTGTGACATATATAAAATACATACATAGAAATAATGAGTAAAATTCCTAGTTATAAGTATTTTTAAAGGATTTATGCGATTTTCGTACATTTCCCGTTCTTCTGAAGACTATTAACGTATATTCAAGACTAAACCCAACCACCAAAATGCCACACATGTGTAATAATATTTGTTGATCATTAATCATTTCTTCAGTGAGTAGGAAAATTGTGACATGGATTCGTTGATGGTAGAATTCTGGTAAGAAACTCAAACGTTAATTTAGCAGCAACTGGCACGCAAATCAGTTCTGGAGAAAATACTGAATCGCTTCCACGTTGTTATCACGTGACTAATTGCAAACTACCACGCAACTTGCTATAAAATATTTTCGGCCTCAGTTTGGGTCTTACACTATGCACAAGTTATAGGTACGTAATAGTCTGATATGCAAATATCATTGACAATTACATGGAATTGTTAAACTGGGCAGATTTTTTTTCTATTACAGCACACACTGTTGGCTACTTGACTCAGTAAATACCACCTTTCATTATGAAACATTACTCTATTATGATTTGTTTGAAATACACCCCTTTATTTGTTATTTGCTGATACTGCACTGGTGATACTTGAGCTTGCAGGAACATACTTCTATTTACGTAACTTTTATGGCCGGCGTTCACTTAAATATTCAGAAATTGTCCATTCTGGGCGATTCCAGCGATACGTATGTTACATTTAGAAAGTTTTTTTTAGTGTCTGTCATTGATATGTATGTTTTGTCTTCAAACTAATTAAGGAATTTTTCTCATTTAGTTTAGCAGTAACAGGTCACATGTAAATACTAAAACAGAAAAAATGGTATTTATTTTTTAGGCAATTTACAATGCAAAAGTCTGTGAATCTCAGGGGGATAATGCCAAGCTCTTGGTTTTATACAGTCATATGCCGATAGCTTCAGAAAAGGCTATTTTCAAGCATGGCAAATTACTATCAACACAGTTGGAAGTGTCTCTAATATGTATGTTACATCAATGAGTTATGTATGATACACCACTGAATATATTAAAATTCTAGGTGTATAAAGAAATAAAAACAGTTCTTGTGAATTAAAAATTAAAATGATTACCAATCAATTATTAAAACTGCATACATTTTTTTAAAATAGAAACAAACATATTTGCATTGTCTAAAGGAAATTTGGATTTCGGGGAAGGGAGGGTTTGATTCTCTCAAATGTACAGGCCTAGGGTGGAGCAGACACTTTATTTAGAAATTAGGATTAAGGGTCTTGATATTGGGTTTTCTTCTGTTCTTATTCTGATCTGAAATTAGAAAAAATAACTCGCCCGAGGGGCGAGAAGTATAGTATCTGTTATGTACTGATTGTTTTTAGTTTACTATGAACAATATTATCATTTAAGTTCTTATTTTTTGAATATGCAACTATCATTTTCTGCTTATAGACATGGGGGAATTTCTCTTGAAGGCTCTTATAGTGGGCATGAACTATCTTGCTTGCTCGATTGCTGGTTGTATTAAACGGGACAACAAAGGGTGCTATGCCTACATTATGATGAATATTTAGTCCTATAGGTCTTGCTGTATTCAATGTCTCAATCCAATGGGCCTCCCTAAATTGACGGAATTTGGTAGTTTCATCTTCGGGCAAGTCAATTTCTATACGCTCAATTGGGATTAGGGTGAGATCTATTGAATGGTCGTCGAGGTTGAAATGATTAGAAACAGGCTTGTCTTTCTTTAATTTGATGTCTGACCTATGAGCATTAAAGTGAGTTCGTAAATTATTCTTAGTTTCTCCTACATATTGTTTGGGGCATTTCTTGCATGAAATTAAATATATTACATTCGAATGTTCACATGTTAGATGTTCCTGGATCGGGTACCTTTTATTCGTAGAGTTGCTTACAAAATAATGAGTTTCTGATATAAAGGGACATGTTTTGCATCTACTGGACAAACATGGAGCACTTCTTAAACCTGGAGGTACTTCGACATAAAGTCTGTTTTTAGCTGCTATCTGTGCTAAGGTGGAATTTTTTATGTTTCGTAAAAATCGTTTAGAGTACCCACGCTCTTTCAGTTTTGAGAAAACAATCGTACAGGCTTGGTTGAAATCAGAAGATCTTGTACAAATTCGATGAAATCGTAAAACTTGTGACTTAATTATACCAGAAAAGGTATGTTTTGGGTGAAAGGAGCTCTTGTGCAAGAGTTGATGAGTATCAGTTTCTTTGAAATACACTTTAATATCCAGTTTATTTGTTTCTGCTATGGAATCTCCCTTAAAGACTGTGGTATCGAGAAAGTCTATGCTTTTGTCACTCACGTTTGCGGTTAGTTTGATAGAAGGATGGTGGTTGTTGAGAATTTCAAAGAATTCCCAAAACTGTTCGATAGAATAAGTCCTTATGCACAACCCTAACAAGAAAATTATCTCCATTGGATTTTTGAAGTTCATACAACAGTATCTGAAACAATTTAAACAAGGTGAAATTGTAAGCTACTGCATCTTGGTCAGGTGGGTTGGATGGTCATTTTATATTCCAATATAATATCCAGCTTTTTTGCCCTAAATAATACCTAAACTAAATGCCCAGTTTACCTTAGATATAGGCAATAGAATGATTTTATATAACATAACCAGTTCAGAGAGGGAATATCTTCCGGGGTATAATATGTATATAATAATAATATCACACACTAAACAAATATACAAATCACACAAAAAAGAACTACAAATTGTGCAAGAATTTTGGCCTCGACCCTCTCTGGTTAAATATATAGGCCTTAATGATAGTTTTAATTAAAAAGAATCAGTATAAATCTTGTGTACTTAAAATTTCTATAGATGTTTCTTCTGTCACCTTTACAGGTGAAAAGAAAAAACATATTGAGGGATCTCAGACTATTGCACAATGTACACTACATTATTACACTATTGACTAATGTAACATACGTAACGTTACGTGTATTACCAATTTTTTATTTTGTAGTTTCCTTTTGTGATTTTTGATTGTTTTAAAAAGGGGAATGATTGTTAAATATAGAAAATATCACTAGATTGCAGCACAAGCTTTTAATAATTTTTTTAGGGAAAAAATGTTAATTTTATGTTACGTGAAATATTATTTAGGTTTTAAACACAAAATTCTCACGATAGTCTTGTATTCTTTTTTTTCTTTCAAAATTGATATATTAATCTATAATAAGTGTAATATCATATAAATAGTCAAAACTTATTTTTTATCATTTGTGTCAAGAAATCAAGATTTATCCGAAAGCTCCAGACAAGAGGACCTTCCACGGTGCCTGTGCCTGTATTTGTTTATATTTGAATCCTCCATGGATTCCAAACCGGCACAATACCATCATGAGATATTCAATCATAAAAAGGTTAACCTTGAACTAATCAGTTGCGCACCCTGTCAGCTGGGGGCTACTGGAAGGAAACATAAATCCTCGGGGTATATATATTAATATAATCAGTTTCATATTTCCAGCTCTGGTGATATTTGGATTATATTCCACTATATGCCCTTTAAACACTCTCCGATTATACTGCAATATTGTCAACAAGGAATACGACATCAAAGCATTTCAGTTTGATATACATTTACTATATGTACAAATGTTACTTTCCCTGTGGTAAAAATCTTGGATAGGTTTTGGAACTTGACCAGTTCGCAGTTTTTGATATATCTGAAATATGGCAACCAGAATTAAAAGCAGCTGAGGGAGATGCTCCCTTGTAGTGTGTGCCTTAGAGTGTGAAAAGTCTGTACCTTCTAGACCAAGGCTATGGTTTCCGAAATAATAGCTCTTAAAAGTTAAAAAATATACAAATAATTAGAGATGATTTCCGGATTACGGT